CTGAAAATTACCATCAATATTAATGTCATTAATAAGTTATGAGTGACTATTATAGAATACTTTACACAAAAAAGCAAGATCAGAAGGAAAATAAATATGCAAATATGATATTGTACATTTTTAATAAAATAAAATTTAGGGGAATAGAAATCATAAAATATATGGTCTAAGAATATAATGGCATTGAATTTGAAGTTGATAAAATACTTGGAGAGTTCATAACATACTTCTAAAGAATATATAGGTCTAAAGAGTATTGACAGAATGTTTTTAAAATCATGTTAAGGAGCATGGGATGAAAATCAATGCATCAAAGTATTTGAGTTGCAATAAAGGTAGTGATTGAAGGAAAATTTACAACACTGGAAAGCATAAGCTATCTAATCTGAGGATGCACACTTCTTCCTATTTTAGAAAATCAGCAAAAAAAATATAAATTAATTTCCAGGTAGAAAAAATAAATGTTACACATTAATTTAGAAGTGATTTCAAGATATTGGTAGAGAAAATAAATAAAATCAAAAGCTAACGATTTAATAAATGGCCAACTTGAAAAATATCCAGTCACATTAATAATGGAGAGGACACATGTCTATAATCTGAAAACTAAAGTATTTTTTCAATAATGATTACATGTGTTTGTCAGTGAGGCTCCAGAGTTCTCTAAAGGAACACAGGCTGTTGCTGTTGTCCTTAATTACTCCCATAACTAAATGGTAAGAACCTATTGTTGAAGCTATCACATACTTTGGTTTCAGGACATAAAAAAGGCCGTAATTTGAAAAAGAGCAAGGAGGAAAATACAAGAGGGTTGTAGAAAGGAAAGGGAAGGAGAATGTGAAGTAATTATATTATAATCTCTAAAATAAAATAATAAAAATAGAGAATCTCTCTGCAACTGACCAAGAAACATCCTCTCTGCTAGCTTTCATAGTGGGAGAAGGTGCTAGATAGGCTGCTGAGTCTAACAAACGGTAGACCCCTGTATGCTTCCCTCAGGGCAGGACACCCTGCTCTCTCTTAGGACTGGAGGGGGGTAGGGGAGAGAGTGTGTGGAGTGGGAGGAAAGTGGGAAGAGGGGAAGAAGTGGGAATTTTGGTTGGTATTATTTATAAAGTAATAAAAAAGAAATAAAAAATGAAAATAAATAAACAGACTTCACACACACACAAAGAATCTTCTAGCACACAAGCAAATTTTGTACCTTGTAATGAAATCTTGGCCAAAAACTCATGGGTGAGGAGGCCATAGGCCTAGGGTAGTATGTACTGTTATTATTTTGTAAATGGCCATGCTCTCAAAGTGCCTTTGAAGTATTTCTGCTTATGCCCATACACCAGGCTGCTTTCAACATTCTTCAGAGAAGGTTCCTGCTGCAGTGAGCAGTAGGACACACAACTAGACCAAGTGTTGAGGATAGAGTGCTCATCCCTGCATGTGACAGCTTAATTAACCACACATCAAAGTTCAGGAAACATAAGGAAAGAGGAGTCAGAAAGATTCAAAGTACTGGATGATCCTGGATGATGCTGGGGAAAAGTGATGAAAAGTACTGTTTTGTTTGGTTTGGTTTGGTTTTAGTTTTTCGAGACAGGGATTCTTTGTAGCTTTGGAGCCTGTCCTGGAACTAGCTCTTGTAAACCAGGCTGGCCTCGAACTCACAAAGATCAGCCTGCCTCTGCCTCCCGAGTGCTGGGATTAAAGGCCTGCGCCACTGCCACTACCCAGCTGCAAAGTGCCGTCTTATGGACATGAGATGGTTATTTCACTCATGAACATACAGCTGCTATGGTTACTTACACAATATCTGCACAAGACCAAACCTGAAGAAGTCCCATCATATGTCTGGAAGGTACTTTTCAGGCCCTATCCCTTACCTTGAAGATATTGGAAGTTGACAGCTAGCAGAGGCAGGAGCATTATTACTTTTGAGGGTGTAGCCACTGTGTTTCTCATGTTCAGCTAGTTGGTCTCACCTATCCACATAAGGGCAATGAAAACTGTATTTAATGACTTATCAAAAAAGTTTCAAAGGAAAAAACATGAAGTTGGGAGGGAGATTTGTTTGGAGAGAGATGGAGAGAATTGGAACAGAGACATGTGGCAGGGAATATGATCATATTTCATTGTGTACATGTACAAAATATCACTAATAAGGATAATTTATATTATGCAGTATAGTGTTTGAAATTCTTAGATATTTGACCTAAACTCTACTATTGACAACTCAATGAAACACCACAGTGGGCACTCACATTCATCAAAAATAGCAAATAAAAAGAGGGAAGAATAAATAAAAGCAAGAGTAGCAGTAACAGTATATATAGCACTGTCATTTAAATAAGAATTTATGCATCAGATTATCAACCTGTATGCCAAAGGCAAAGAAATTAATAATTGAAAAAGGCAAAGAAATTAGTAATTAAAAAATCTACTTTAAAAATAGTGCTGGGAAATTTGGATATCCACATGAAGATAAAGACTAAGAAAAATAAAAAAATGAAAAATCTATATCCATATCTCATACTTCGTGAAATACAACTCAAACTGGACCCAAGAAATTAATATAGGAATTAAAAGTTGAAATTTCTAGAGGGAAATTTATGGAAAATAATTGAATATATATGTACAGACAATAAACTTTTAAATATTTGGACTCAAAAGCTGTGGTCATACTACAACAAAGTGCCAAGTGGAACTCACAGGAAATGAAAATGATGCATATCAATAGAACAAACGTCCAGAGGAAAAAGTACATAGAATGGCATAGAATCTTTACCAGTTTTATTTTAGTTTAATGCAGTTAATATAGAAAGAACTGGAAAATGCATAGCAAAATATAAAATGCATATTCAATAAACTGACAGAGTTATTGCAAATGAAGAACTATAAACAACCAATAAATGAACGAAAAACAGTCGACACCTTTATCCATTAGGGGAACAAATCATTACAGCACTGTGACTTCCTCTCATTGGAGTGAGAATGGCAAATCTGAAAGAAACTGTACATAAAAAAGGAAAGAAATGAAAAAAAAATAGGTTTACTGCTATGTCATGATAAAGAACAAGAGGAAGTGGAGAATTTTGATGAGGTTACAAGCAAAAATATCCTTATCTATATCTGTTGGAAATACAAAATTTTCAACAACTATAGTAAACATCAGGAAGTTAATGTTAATTCACACCTCCAGAGATGCAGAAGCAGGTGACTTGTAAGATTACGTTCTCATTAGGCTACATAGGAGTTTCTATTACACGAAAACACTTGGTTTCAAAGCCCCAATATAAAATGACACAGTTATTCATAAGAAAAAATGAGTGATGCCAGAGATGCTGATATAAAATAATACTTGTACTGGGAACACAGAGATAAGAAGATAGTGACTTCTAAGCAACTTTGAGACTCGACGAGTTCCATTAACAATTTGAGCTGGCACAGGGAGAACCTGCCGGAAAACTTTAATAAAGAAGACAATGAAATGCAGGGTGAATGAGGAAAAGAGATAAGAAGAGGTGAGGGGAGAGGAGAAGGAAAGGACAGTGCAGTCATGAACCAGAATCACAAACATATGGCTTGAACTGTTAGCTATATTTTATACTGGGGTCACGGCACATATGTTGGACTAGGAATCACTACATCATCTTATTTAGGACTCTGATGGGAATTCTATTTTCTGAGACCCATTGGCCCACAAAATAAGCGTAAAAACCCAGTTTCACTCAAACTCAACAAAAATGTTTGTGTTTTCTATGGGATTTCTCCTCCCGTAAAAAAACGGTGTTAACTTCCACGGGCGCTCAGTAGGGGGCGACGGAGGGTGGAGGCAGGGAGCGGAAGTAGAAGTCCTTAACTTCCGCTTTGCTGTTTTGCTGTTGGCGCCGCTGCCGGAGACGGAGACGGTACTACTGGGCCTTGGTCTGAGACAACACGCCACAGTTACTCAAGTGAGAATCTTTCCGGGTGATGGCTTGGGTGATGAGTTAAAACTGTGACAGCCCACTATAAATTCCTAAATTCACAACCCACCCTGGCCGAGCAAAGGCCGGATCTCAGCACTATTCCCCAGTGTTCCTGGCTATGGCAGTTAGGGTCTTTGTCATTAATGGTCCTCGTTCTTCTCAGGGAGTAAAAGTCTAGATGAGAGGTTGTGGGGTTTACAGGAAAGGGGGGAAGTCGGGATCTGAAAATTAGAGTCTCCATGCTGTGTGTGGGCCTGAATAAAGAATTGTTCCCCTACATGGCATAGGAGGGTCGAGCTGGCCAAGATGCTACCCTTCTTTGTCCTTTGGAGAACAAGGAGGTGGGATTTCAGGGAAATTGTTCCAAGGAAGGAGGCAGTGGGTGGGGTTTGCAGAAGTTCAGGCCTTATTTGGTGTCCTCTGGATGGTGTCAGACATCTTGAGTAAAGCTTGCCTTAATTTCCTCTGTGTATTACTGTTGAAGATTGCAGTACTAACTTCAGACCAACAGAGTAAAATGGGGATCCAAACATAATTAGAAATGAACATGAGGTTTTTTTTTTTTTTTTTTTTTTTTTTCCCGAGACAGGGTTTCTCTGTGGCTTTGGAGCCTGTCCTGGCACTAGCTCTGTAGACCAGGCTGGTCTCGAACTCACAGAGATCTGCCTGCCTCTGCCTCCCGAGTGCTGGGATTAAAGGCGTGCGCCACCACCGCCGGGCCTGAACATGAGGTTTTAAGGGGATTAAATTGGGGCCCTAAAGGAAGCCCTTTGCTCACCCTAGAAAGTTAGAATTTCGGTTGCCAATCAGTAAACTAACAAACTCCAATTCTCTCCACAGATTTCTCGGGAAGTAGATTCAACAAGGAAATAAGAAAGAGGTTTGAATCCAGAAAGGTACCCTGAGAAAAGAAGCAGAGGGGACCCTCCTTAAAGGGAAGTTTCTCTCCATCTAGTAATGTTTACATAGTGTCTTTCTCTCTCACCTCCTCCTGCCCCAGATTCTTTCCAGAACTCCTGCCTGCCTACCCAGAGCATCATGCCTCGGGGCAACAAGAGCAAGAGCCGCTCCAGAGCCAAAAGGCAGCAGACTCGGGGAGAGAGGCAGAATCTCCAGGGTGCTCAGCCGGCTGAAGAAGAGGAAGCAACATCCCCTACTCTTGGCCAGGGAGATGCCCCCAGCTTCCCTGATGTCAGCACTCCTCAAGAGTCCCAGGAGGCCCTGTCCCATGGCTCTCCTAAGTTAGATGTGTCCCAATCAGTTTCCGATGTTGGTGGTGCTGAGGGTTCTGTTTCAGGTTTTGATGCCAGGCGTCCAAATGTCTGCATTATAGCAGAAGCCATCCAGTCTATACACAGAGATCCTATTGCCAGGAAGGCCAGCAAGGTACTTCATTACTTCCTGGAGAAGTACCAGAAGGATGAGCAACCTAAGGAGGAAGAGATGCTGAAGCTGATCAGCAAGAAGTACAAGGTGCATTTCCCCTCCATCCTGGAGAAAGCCACCTATCAGCTGGAGGTGGTCTATGGTCTGGAGTTGAAGGTTGACCCACATAACTCTCAGTCCTATGTTCTTGTTAGCAAGCTGCCCATCCCGCGTAGGGCAAATCAGGGTGGCAGGAAAGAGTTACCAAAGACAGGTCTCACACTGACCCTCCTGGGTATGATTATGATGAAAGGCGGCCGTGCCACAGAGGAAGAGGTCTGGGAATTCCTCCAAATGCAGGGGCTATATCCTGGGAGGAGGCACTTAATCTTTGGGGAGCCCCGTAAGTTCCTCACCATAGAACTAGTTGAGCAAAATTACGTGGAATACCGCCGGGTGACTGGTAGTGATCCCCCACGCTATGAGTTCCTGTGGGGTCCCAGGGCCCGCAATGAAGCCACCAGGACAAAAGTCCTGGATGTTTTAAATAAGATAAGAAATGCCATGCCTGGTTTCTACCCTCAACAGTATGAGGAGGCTCTGAGTAACTATGCTGAGAGAGCGGCGAGTAGAGGTGAGGCTTCTCATTCCCCCCATGCCCAAGCTAGCAGTTCCTCCCACACTTAGCTGGCCCTTAAGTATAGCTGTGACTGTGCTGTGAAGGACAGCCAGTCTTCTGAGTAGTGGGGAGTTTATAAGTTGTAAGAACCGCACTAAGAATATGCATAGGAAAAGTAGAAGCATCTTTCTTTGTTACATTGTTAGTATTCTCGCAACTGAAGATTAATTTGTTTCATAAATGCTTCTTATGTCTGCCACATTTGTCGTTCTTTGTCAAGTTTAATAGTAAGATCTTTGGGGTTTCCAATTCATTGGAAAGTCTTCACAGCGTTCTTCTAAGTGTAAGAAGACATGGCACGGGAAAGAGTTTCACAGAATATGGTGTGCCAACAATTGGTGAAACAAAGTAAAGGGGTCAATTCATCCATGTCTCTATTGGGTTTGCCTTTATTTGTAATTTTAATGGAACCAAAGTTGGTTTGACTACTTTATTAAACATCTGTAAGAAAATAAACTGTGATACTTAAACCTCATAACCAGTCTCTTTGTCATTTCATTATTTTCCCCAGTCATTCATTGGGCATCAGCTCTTTGGTAGCTCCTCCCCATCACATCATTGTTGATGACAACAAAGAACTGTCTACTGCCCACAGGGACTAGAATTTTCCAGCAGCTATATAGGAGGAGGAGGACAGAAAACCCTAAGAAGGGCATGCAAAAGAAATGATTAGGAAGAATAGAAAACTGTTGATTGATATAGCTACCCATTTTCTGATTGTGGCAATTTAGAACATGGGGAAATTTCAGTTCTATCAACACTCTATAATTTAATGGACACTGCATGATTGGTTGCATGAGGCTAGGGGAGTGATGATCAAGGCCAGACCGTCAGAAGGGGACCCCTTGAGATAGTGTGAGTTGGTGAACAACGACCAGATCATCACAGAATTTAAAGTTTAAGTTAGAGCAGGCAATGCATCATAAATGTCCCTTTGAATTTTGAGTGTACCAGTATGAAATCCTACCTGTAATAGAAGTGTTCAGAGTCCATGTGTATACCCCAGTACAAGTGAAAACATTGCACAAGTCACACAATTAAATACATAGATTTTCTGAGGAAAAAACATATGATAATCCTTTGAGAAGAAGTTCCAAGAAGACAACTGTCTGTCACTCAGAATGGGCTCCTACAGCCAAATTCTCTTTTATTGAAGTGTATCTAAACCAGGTAGTAACTTTGTTAAACTACAAGAACAGGGTCCAAATTTGATGGTGATGAAAGTAGTCCCAAGGCTAACTTGGATGGAAAGTATTTTAGATTAATGGTGTTGAACCATGAAATATAGCAGTTTAGCTGCCCCCCCCAAAAAATCCACTCCAAATTAAATATCGCTTCCTATAGAAAACACTAATTAATTTATTATAATATGATTACATCATTTATCCTTTCCCATTTCCTCACTCTACTCACTCCTATGAAACCCCTCTTTGAAATTCTTGGCATCCTCTTTTTTTTTTAAATAATATAAGTTCATATACACACTGGTAACACTATACAGGCTGAGTATGATATATGTATATATTGCAGTTTCTCCTAAAAGGAAATATTTTGTTCAACAGGGAAGAAAAATATCCATAAAATTCTATAAGTAAAGGAAACAAGATTTATAAAGTCCCTCCCCAAAGTTAGATAAGCAGTTACATGCTGTTATTGGAGGAGACAGTATACCAGCTGAACGTCCTGGGAATAGTGCATGGAATGATAGTCACTGTTATTCAAGTAGTCATTACTCAGGCTTGGGTGGGCTTTTTGGTTATGCATCTGACTTAGTCATCTGTGATATTGTAAGAACCCCCTCACATATATCTCTGTAAGTATCACTAATAAATATATTGGTCCACTAAGCTGTAACCTAATGGAATAATTTCAGTGTATTGTAGGTATCCTGTTTGAAGTGTATAGATTATTTGTCACCTCAATCCAGGAAAGTCACAGAACATTACAAGAGCAAGGGAGTTGAGGCATTGTAGAAAGCAACAATTCCCTAGAGGTTGATGATTTTCATTTATTCTGGAAGGTGAACTATCTGGACTTCTGAATATAGCAGGTAAATTTCCTACATTCAGGGTGTGTTGGAATTGAAAGACCAAATATTTTAACACTGTGCTGATTGCTATTGCGAACTCTCATAGATGCTAGAGATCAAAAACATCACTTGAACAATATTTACACAGCTCAAGAAGTACAAGACAAAGGTGGAAATAGATCCAGTTCTTGAGAAGGGTAATATCTAGGTTTGGAGAGAGGGTATTGAGAAAGGAACAAAAAAAGAGAAGGATAAAAAGAAGAAGGGATGAAGTGGGACAGATGAGAGAGAGAGGAAGAGCAAAAAAGATGAGAGAGTGAGAGAGCTGTATTTTCTGTTTTAGTATATAAACAATAATCTCAAAATGTGGGTCCACATTTACACCATCATTGGAATCCAAATATTTTCAATGTCCTTATTCTAATCCCATTGCATTATGGAATAGAAGGTCACCATAATTGAGCAGGGCAACTCACGCAGGCCCATGTGTCAATGTCTCTGACAATTGGAAACTGTGTGTAAATGCTCCAAAGAGATAGCTCCATCTAGAAAGGAAGGGAAGTTTTCCACAATTCTCTTTCGACTGTTGTACACAACACTGTTTTCAATGCAGGTAATTTGTGCCTATTCTTAATCCAAAGTATCTGAGAAGTACAGTAAAAGAAGCCACTGTTTGGATCTTTTTCATCTTGAACTTGGAAAATTAGATTCCATTAAAGAACTGACCATAAAAAACCATGTTGTTTTTCAAATGGCCAACATTAATTGATTTTGTTATAACAACCATGAATGTAAATAGAGACAGGAAGGATGGAATTGAATGTAGAATTGATTAAAGCATTTGTGTCTTGACACCAAGTACACCTAACAAGAGATGACCACCAAACCCTGAAATCACTGCTCTCCCAGAGAAAAATTCACATAGATGTACTTACTAGGAAGGAAGTCTGACTGATTCAGAATGCTTTATATATCCTTTCATAGGTAATTTTTTGTGTAATCAAAGGTTTCTTCTGTGTTCAGAATAATAACTGTCATTCATCAAATGCTGCACATTGTTTTCCAGTCACTTTGTCTACAGTATGTATGTAATGCATGTATTCCAATAGGGCAGAACTTATCAAACACTATTGAAATTTTCTCAAGTTTTCAAAAGGCTGATCGGTAGGTAGATGTGCTGGACTTCAGCTCTAATTTTTATGTCTAGCATCCACATATTTTTTTCATCTCAGTTGAGGCAGCCCTTTTCTCTAAAAATATTTTCTCAACATAATTTTCAGGCAATAAACAGGCCCTAAAGGTAAAAGTATTAAAGAAACTCTATAAACGGAAACTGAATAGAAAATGAAAATCAAGTTGTTAGCCTTAGGATTTATTTTCTTAGGAGCCTGCTACATCTAGGTCCATGGTACCTAAAAGTGAACAGGATGCAGTAACTGGCATTCTGTCTACTGTGGCTCTTTGCACCATTATAACATCCTCTGAGACTTCTCTAGTGTGCACTTCTGGCCTATGACTTCCAGGATACATGTTCACTGCAATTCCTATGGAACCTGCCCTCTGTTCTCAGAGAATGACAGCTCCTGCCATTTATCTCTGACTGAGTACATCCCAGCTCTATGGTGGTGTTTCTTTCCACATTGATATACACCATCTTTGCATTCTGGTTTACAAAACACACTCTTTCTCCCTTTCTTATACTGCAATCCACTGAATATCTTCTATTATAATTCTTTTCCAAATATTCATTTTATTAGATTATTCAAAGATTTCCTTTGTATGAGTTTGTTATTCATTTGTTCATATGCATATTGCTGTAAATCTAATATATAGATGAGTTTTTAGCCCAAGCCTGCCCTATTGTCTGCAAGGTCCTTGGCCCAGGAACAGTTCCTGCTCCTATACTGTGGTTATCCACCCAGAGGGGTGAGTGTGTGCCCACTCAACCAGAAGGTCCCCAGAAGAGAGTGCAGGGCATCTCCAGCTCCTGCTGCAGGGGCTTCTTTGTTCCACAGGACCCTGCCACCTCCCCACGTTGCTCTTTTGTCTGTGGGGTCCTTGGACTACCAGGAGTTCCTGTTCCTGCCCTGAGGAGATCCATCCAGACAGGTGAGTGTGTGCCAGCCTGGGGTTGAAGGTCTGGGAACGGAGGAGCACAGGGCCCCTCCAACTCTTGCTGCAGGGGCTTTTTTTTGTTCCACATGACCCTGGCACCCCAAGCCTGCACTATTGTCTGCGAGGTCTTGGCCCAGGAACAGTTCCTGCTCCTGCATTGAGGGGATCCACCCACAGGGGTAAGTGTGTGCCCACCTGGCCAGAAGGTCCCTGGAAGGGAGTGCAGGGAACCTCCAGCTCCTGCTGCAGGGGCTTCTTTGTTCCACACTACCCTGCTTCTCCCCAAGTTTGCCCTTTTGTCTGCTGGGTCTTTGGACTACCAGGAGTCCCTGTTCCTGTGATGAGGAGATTCACCAAGATGGGAGAGTGTGTGCCCCACCTCCAGGGCGGATGATCCAGAAGGAAGCAGAGGGCCCCTCCAGCTCCTGCTGCAGGGGTTTCTTTGTTCCACATGACCCTGCCTCTCCACAAGCATGCTTTGTTGTCTGTGAGGTCCTTGGCCCAGGAACAGATTCTGCTTCTGCATTGAGGAGATCTAGGCAGAGGGCACTCCTTTCAATCTGCAGGGTACTTAGATCCACCAGCATGACCAGCTCCAGTGCTGAGGGGCCCTAAGAGAGGCTAGACCAAGAAAATTCCCCAAGTACACTCCAACAACCTGAAAGGCAACATGAAAACACCAGAATCCAGGAATCACACAACAAGAAGACTTGAACACCCTATTCCAGAAGAAGCAGAAGAAATCAACTTTAAATGTAACATTATGAAAATAATAGAGAACCTTAAACAGGATTGAAAAACTCCTTAAAAGAAATGGAGAAGACAAACAAAAAGGTAGAATAAATGAATAAATCCCTCAATGAT